CCTTTCTTCTTCAGAGCAGGCTGACGGTGGGACTAATAGAGTGACTTCTACTTCCATGTGTTCTGCCAGCAGGAAGGCAAGTTTTCTGTTTACGGTTGACAAGCCTCCCTTTTTAGACCTCCATTCACTGCCTAAGAGAGTTACTTTAAAAACCCTCTCGGACTTCCCTGGATTATCTTGTACTGGCTCGCCCTGAGATGTGCCGGCTACAGAGGAAAGACATAAATCCTGCAAGAAAATGAAAACGCCTTAATAAAAATGCATCAAAGCCAAATTTCTCGGTATATATTGTAACCGGGCATGAAATGCACTCTTCTTGCAATGCAAGACTACATCATCTTTTAAACTTGGTTTATTTGGCTTCGCATCACGAAAACGAAAGTGAATACAAGGGAGAAGTTAACTGTGGGAATTCCTCTAATGGCTTTATTCCAAGCTTGTCAGATGTCAGAACAAGACAAGGGAATCCCATTACTGTTGATTGCGACCTTAACAGATCTTTAGCTGTTTGAATGATTGCCGCATTCCTCCTTTTGAATGCTGCCCAAATGGCAAGTAATGGTGACGACTATTAAACAATTATACACGAGCGCGCGTTGGATATGAGATGTTAGATAGGCTAAGTGGCGCGTAGCGCCAAATTGACTATAATCGTTCCAAATCCAACGAGGGCGAGTGGATTAATTGCTTTATTAAAAACGCTACGAAAATATGGAAAGCTAAACTAAAACGAAAATAAAAACGCTCAAAAAATCACGCGTACGCTTATCATATTTTTAGAGCATGGTATAATAGCTCATAACCCATGATGAATAAACCAATGAAAACTCTCGAATTGCATAATCCAACGATCCAGTTCTTAATAATACCTGATATAGGTAGATAATACATTTTGCGAAGTTTTGTAACCCCCAAGCTCAACTACAATGTCAACCACTGGTGATATTACTCGTGAAATATATTACTTTTTATTCAAAAATCATACCTGGCTTGTTCTTTGTGAATACCACTTTTCCAGACCACGAACTGTGAGTACTTTGTCAATGACGCTTTTCATGCAGATCAAGCGTTCTCCTTGTTTTATTTCAAGGAAATGCAAACAATCTTCGTGTGAGCACAAGGTTTGGCTGTGGTTTACACACTGCTGACTCCCCTGTAGACAGTAGGGGCATGCAACACAGAACTCGTACCGCAGATTACCAAGGTACTGAAACTGCTTCAACAAAT